ACAATACAATCTAACATAAAATTCAAGTCTTTAACACGTAATCTAACAAAAAACTCTAGTCTTTGACACGTATCTAACATAAAACTCAAGGCTTTGACAATAATTTAAAAAGTAGAAATCAAATTCATCACAACAAACATGCTTTAATAAGTAAAATCTTCGTCATCAACATTACTTTAAAGTAATTCAACATCCACTGCTGTTGTAATGCTTAACTTGTCTGCAAAAAGTGAGAAACAACAAACATAGTAAGTTACTAAACAAAATAATTCTTAATTGCTTGTAACTAATTATCTTGTACTATGTAATTTATCTGAATCAATGGATAAATAAGTCTCAACATCTTCTAATTGGGGATGGAGACCTTCTAATATGACAGATATTTGGATCTGCCTTGCGTCTTTCTCTTTTCCAATGCATAATACATATATAGTTAAATATGTATACATACGATTAAAAAATCTCTTATATATAATTAAAAATATTTAAAAATATATAGTATATAAACTTCAGATTATACAGATTGAGAAATACACAATTGGCAATCCAATTCGTTAATGCGGATTGGAAAAATCTCAATCTGTTACCAATCCAAATATTTTTCAATATAATCTAATCCGGTAGATTGGATTAGATTATGCGGATTGGATTGCATTATGCGGATTAGATTGGATAATGCATATTAGACGGATTAGCAGATTAGGTGTACACCCCTACAAAATATGACTTCATACTTTGGATTGGCGGATTATAGGGATTGAGAAATGCTCAATCCGCAATCTAATCCGTTAATGCATATTAGAAAAATCTCAATCCGTTACTAATCTGAAACTTTTTCAATACAGTCCAATCCAGCGAATTTGATTGGATTATGCGGATCGTACGGATTAGCGGATTTCATTTACACCCGAACAGAATATGACTTCAGTTAAACTGATTTTGTACTCCTTGGATGTTGGCGATGAAGAGCATAAGTAATATTCTTTTTCATTCCATCTATGGACCTAACAAATTGCAAATGGTCATTAAATTAGGAGCGTGAGAATACCGCTTATTTCTTTTTTTTTATACTAACAAAAACTACTAGTTATTTGGCCAGTAACTACTGATCACTGTATTCTTACTTCATATTACAACAGTTCATGATAGCAATTATAATTCATTTCACATGTTATATATTAGCCAAATGGGCTTGTATTATTGAACCATTATCTTATAATAATTCAAGTGACGTAATTGTAATAGAGAATTGTGACGTACGAAATGGACAAGGGATAGCTATAAGATTCGTTTCGTATTACTTGGATACATCATCAATAATTGAAATATCATTCACTGTCTTGGAAAGTATTTGTCACAATGCCTTGCCAGCCTGCCCATACAACAGAATTTTAAGACTGCAATTGCACATCAATAATTGAAGTTGGATTATGATCTTTAGACTCAGACAAGAAAATGAAAAGAATTTATGGATTCAAATTTTCCACAATAGAAGACAAGAAGAAAAAGAAGAAAAGTAGCCCAAACAAAACGGAAAAGATTAATGTAGATGTCAGTGGAACTTGTCACAAGTGTATGTATAGAAATTTTCAAAATGTGATATTTAATTAAGCATCATAAATAGTTAAGAACATACAAATAAATTATTATATATGGATTTTCTTTTCTTTTCTTTTTTTATGACTTGACATTACACATATATTGTCAATCCCGTAACCACTAGATAAATTTTTAACTAAAGAGTGCCAAATGAGCGAGTAATTAAGCGAAAAAAAAAAAAAAAAAAAAGTTATATGAAAAAGAAGTGGAAAAGAAGTTGATCCTCCTTGAAGTAGTGCCTCTTTTCTCTGCTCAAAGGGATTGGTCAAAAAATAATTTATTTGTAGCTGATGAAGAACTATCAAGTTTTTACATACGTACAGATGAAATAGATTACCATTTGGTTTTTCTTTTCTTTCTTTCTTTTTATATAACAATAATCAATTGACATGTCAGTTATTCAATGAATTACCAATTAGTGCAGGAAGGGTTAATATAAAAGGCCAACCAATGACCATGCAGAAACAAAAATTCCAAGAAAAAGGGAGAAAGAGCATATATTTAGGAAGAATAAAAATTAATGGCAGAAATTTGAGGGAAACTAGTAAATACTAGCTTTTATATAAATTTGGATTTGCTATGATGATAAATTACTAAATGAAGAGTAAAAACTTGGGGTAAAGTTGAACGAAAGAAGAATCATGATCAAAGATAAAAACTGGAAGGATATATAAATAAAAACTTCAAAAATTTTTATTTACTACCAACTTAAGTAAATATGCTATTTACTTTTAAAGAGATACAAGTCATTCTAAAAATAAAATAAAATAAAATAAAAATCTAATAAAAGAAACTCTTGCTTCTCCTTATCAATTCCTTCATCAAAAGGAAATAACACTAAAAGTTGCATTAATGGTGGTAGCATGCATGTGCACATCTTACTTGGTTTGTGCTCTAAATCACAAGCTCCAACATGCTTGCATATTAACCTTTCTATAAGTTTGCAAGGAGGCATCCATGCAATCAGTTTCTTCAAAAGAGTATAAAAGTGCCCTGGCCAAGTAAACTTGTAATTTTCTGCATCCTACAATATGAAATAACAATAACAATAACAGTAAAACAAGATGACAAATAGTAATGCTTGGATAATAGGAATCAACCTTGGAATAAAACAAAGAACCTTGTATCTTCTACAGTATGTTCTACTTTTGAATTATTAAATAGTTGTTGTTGGGGTCTCATAGATTTAGAGAGTGTGACATGGCTAAGAATTCGACTCGAAAGAGTTGGATAATAACTTTATTATTTGTTATTGAATATGTATTTTTTTGATAATAACTTTATTATTGGTTATTGAATATGTTTTTTTTTAATATACATAAACAAATTGTGATTCATTCATTTATTTTTAGTTCAAATTTTCATCAGCAAGAGAAAGAGAGGAAAAACTAAATTAAACTTATTTAGCTATGCTTCAAAGTAATGCTTTTTAGTTTTGGAGGGAATAAAATAAAGATTTTCATTTTCAGGGGGCTATATATATTTGGTATAAATAAATATTTATAAATACAAATAAGAAAAAAGCCTCCTGGATCATACACTAGCTTCGTCGCTGGCTCCAACGTTGTCAAAAGATTCTTAAAGTAGACAATGGCAATAGGACCTACTAGGGCTATTTAGAAAAAATAAAAACCGACAAAACCAATTGGTACCCACCGAAACTGACAAAAAATTTGGAGAAAACTGACAAAAGTGGTAAGTAAAATTTTAATTTTAAAATAATTTAGAAATGTAAATGTCTTTATAATTAATAAAAAAATAAACATATCAATTAATAATAATTAAATATTAAATTTATAACATGTTATAATTTATGATAAATTTATCATTAAGTATAATATATGTAACAAATTTAACATAATAAATAACACTTCATTAAATGTCTGTTACATCCAACTTTGCATTATTGATGTTTCCCATTCAAGGTATTTGTAGCACAAGTGGTGTGCCGACAGATATTGGGCTAGATTTTCAAAGACTTTTCTACTTCCACAGCAGTATTATTGATTAGACACACACACTAGCGGTATTTAGTGGAACAAAAAGAGTATGATCCAATCTAATTTATAGTGGAACCCCACTATTTGTCCCCATTTGTGAGAATTGTGGGACAAGGTTATAAAAAGGTATAGGTCCCACATTGTGAGTGCATGACCTATAGGAACGTACCCATCCCGCCACTCTCATGGGTGGTGACGGAAAAACATCTTTTTAATGGAGAAATTTCATTTGATAATTAAATGAATACAGACTTTAAAATAATCACAAATAATCATCAAATACAAAAGTATTCGATTAAAAATAAAAATTAGATCTACCAATAAAGTCGAATGAAGCGCAAAGTTAAATTCGAGTGCCGAGTTCTAATAGAGAAAAACCCGCTAGGAACATTAATAATCGAGCGCAAAAATAGTTCGTTTGACAAAACCATATGGATATAATCAATCAACCGAGACCAAAATACTCACAACACTAGGGTAATTCACAACACCACATTGGATCAAGCCTAGCGGAATAAACCTACCACCACTATAGAAGGGTGAGACTATAACATTCATTATTACATAACGAAAACATAAAAACTAAAATAGCAGAATAAACGATGCCTTTTTTACATCAAAATAAAAATTAAAAAACGAGTAAAATCTCTCATTTTCACTAATAAGATCATAAACAATAAGTTGGCCACCATGACTATAAAGGATAGATCGGTAAGGACCCACGCGACTCCACCACTGATGTTGAGGACTCATTCACACACAGATCCTACCTTTATGATCACCGTTAGTGTTGGAACTTTGGGCAGGCGAGCCTGCCCGAAGCCTGAATTTTTCAAGCTCGGAGTGCAGGCCCAATGGTCAACCCGTCAATTGCCGTCCGCCGGAATTTTTTTGAATTTTTTCACTCCGGTCCGACTTGCCCGAAGCCCGACCAACGACTATATTTTTGTCCGTTGGTGCCCGACCCGACTCCAACGGTTCTTTTTTTTTTTTACGGTTGCCTGATTTTTGGCCTGAACCCGACCCGCCGAGACAAAAAATGGCCGTTGGATCCGAATTTGGGGGAAAAATTTAAATTTTTAACCCAAAAATTTCCCTATAAATACCCCATATCCCCCACATTTTTTTCTCACCCAAACTCTCTCAATCCCTCTCAATTTCTCTAAATCTCTCACAAATTTTTTAAAAACTATCACAATATCCTAAAGCTCTCTCTCAAATTACTCTTATTTTTTATAATGGATTCTTTTGGTTGTGGTGGTATTCTTGTTGATACCCAACACAACGTAGAAGAAGGATAATTTCTCACTACTGAATTTATTACGCAGGAATCGTAAACACAACCAACTGAGGAACCTGCCAATCTGAGCCCTGGTGGACGTACTGGAGGTCGTGGTCGCAATGGTGGTGGGCGTGGAGAAGCAGCGAGTGCAAGTGCTGCTACGTCTGCAAGTGTTGCAACCTCCAAGAGTAAATGCAAGCGTACCTTTACAGTTTGGGATATCTTCGACACAATTGAGGAGATCGACAATGACGGTAATACTAAACATATAGCTCGGTGTAAATATTGTTTATTTAAATTACCAGGTGACACTATTCACGGCACAACACACTTGAGAAAATACTCCGAAAATGTCTTCAAAAGCTTAGCCAATCCAATGGAGAAGCAGCGAGTGCAAGTGCTGCTACGTCTGCAAGTGTTGCAACCTCCAAGAGTAAATGCAAGCGTACCTTTACAGTTTGGGATATCTTCGACACAATTGAGGAGATCGACAATGACGGTAATACTAAACATATAGCTCGGTGTAAATATTGTTTATTTAAATTACCATGTGACACTATTCACGGCACAACACACTTGAGAAAATACTCCGAAAATGTCTTCAAAAGCTTAGCCAATCCAACGGAGCCGAGCTCCGCCAAACACAATTATCTTTTGATTGCGCAACCGGTGGTCTAACTACTTAGAAATACGATCTGCAAGTAGATCGTATGGAAGTTGCGCAAATAATAGCTGCATTAGATCAACCACTTAATTTTGTAGAGCATCCTAATTGGCAACAATATATTAAAGTTATACATAATCCTAATGCATAGTTCACTTCAAAAACTACTCTCAGGAAAGATTTGTTAAAATTATTTAAAAAAAGAAAAGAAGCATTAATAAATCTTTTACACTCAACTAGATGTTGTGTTGCGTTAACGACAGATATTTAGTCTGCCGTTGCCAATAAAGATTATTTAGCTGTAACCGGACATTACTTTAAAGGATTCGATTTAGATAAGAGAATATTAGGTTTTAAATGTCTTTTGAGATCACATAGCGCCGATTTAATATATAATACAATTTTAAATGTAATTGATGAATTTAGATTAAGAGATAAAGTAATGGCTATAATATTAAAAGAATTAGAGATACTATTGCATGGATTCAAGGTAGTAACCAAGGAGAACAAGATTGGTTTAGGTTCTTACAAGCATTAAATCTACCTCCTAGAGCATTAGCCTTAAATATGCCTGTAAAATGGAACTCAACTTATATTATGCTTCAACAATACATCCCCTATAAGGATGCTATAACAAACTATATCTGTGCAAAATTAGAAACATGACATATAGACGCATATGATTGGCAAATTGCCGAAATTTTGTATCAATGTTTAGGTAGGTTTTTTAAAATTACTTTAAAACTTAGTGGAACATATTACCCAACATCACCTTTAGCTTTAGGTGAACTTTTAAGAATTAGTATTTTATTTAGTGAATTTAGGACGGATCCAATCTTAAGAGCTCATATCGCTTCTATGGAAAAGAAACTTAAAAAATATTGGTCTAAATTGCCTTTATTGTATGGTTTCGATACTATTTTTAATCATAGATTAAAATTAGATGGTTTAGAAAGTGGTTTAGAAAACTTAGGTGAATTTTTAGGCATCAATTGTTCTAACCAATTTCCAACAATAAAGGCAAAAATATTTTCAATCTATAGTAAATATGAGAATAGGTTTAGAAACACAAACTCTGGAGTACATGAACTGCAAAACGAGATGAAAACCCGCATTCATTCTTGAATGTTTTCAAGTTGAAGAAGAAGAAGACGACAACTTAAACAGAAGTTGGGAATGGATCTTCATCAACAAGTGGTGGTGGCGGCAGCTTCAACGAGCTTATGGCGTACCTCAGTGAGAGCTTAGTAGTCGACGGTACTGGAGAATCGTTTGACTTAGTTCAATGGTGGAGGGCAGAGCATTAACTTGGCCAATCCTAACTCGATTGGCAATGGATATTTTTTCGATCCCAGTCTCCACTGTTTCATCCGAACAAGCCTTCAATACGACCAGACGAATACTTGAAGAACGTCGAAACGCATTGCAAAGAGACATTGTTGAAGCCTTGGTCTGCATTAAGAATTGGGATCGTGCCGATCAACGTTTACAGGGTACAATTTCACCGGCAAATCAAGAATGGATCGATGAATTTAATAGATTAACATTTAATTTTAAAGACGATCCTTCAGCTTCAAATTAAATTGTAATTTGTAAATATGTATTTACTTTCGACATTGTAATTGTATATTTAGACCTTGTAAGTTTGTAAAATTTATAATTCGCCAGAAAATGATTGCATTCTTTTTTCCTTACCAAGTTTTTATCCCAATTGGGTTTTTCTTGGTATGTTTTTTAATGAGGCAATTATGAATTACGAATTCAAAAATTAATTTAATAAATTGTGTTAATAATGTGTGTTGAATGTTGATTTTAGTTTTTATATAATTTTAACACAAAATAACTTAATAATTATTTATATACAAATACAATTACTAAATAATAGTATATAATATATATACATATATATACACAACATTATAAAAATTAAAAAATATTTTTTTTTCGGGTAATTCGGGCGGGCTTAGGCTGCCTGACCGGGCTCGGGCAGTCAAAACCAGGCCCGCAGCCCGTCCACGGGCTTTCTCGGGATCGAGCAGGCAGCCTAAAAAATTTGGGCGGATTGGGTCGGGCTTCAGGTCAAAATTCAGATGGTCGTATGCAGCCCATCTAAAGTTCCAACACCAGCGGACAGTAGCTCTTCCATTTAAATGAATATCAAGATATCCATAACACCCTCTATTGTGTTTTAAAGTACCTAAAATAACCTTATAGTTTATTACTTACTCCCTGTATCTTTTTTTTTCTCGGAACCGTATCCTTTCTTCTCTAATATATATAAATAATATATATATATATATATATACACATATACATACACGTGTGATAAAAAAACCACGGACAATAAATACGCTTTTTTTTGTGCTTGGGTTGGGTGATTAAAACCTTTTTAAAATGTGAGACTTATGTCTATTGAAATACGTTATATATATATATATATATATATATATGTATTCAATATACATGATTAGTCTCCAATCCGTCACCTATCATTATGGCGAAAGACTGTGTATAGAAGACCGTAAATTAATCATTCATCAACGGTCTAAAAATTGCTTCTTTAAATTTTTTTTCCAAATTTGTTATTTTTTGTTTGGACATAAACTAATAGAGATAGGTGAGAGGGAGAAAATTTGTATAAAATGTCAGACCAATATTAATAAAAGTCAGGTATAGAGTGATCAATATTATAAATAAGGTGTTTTCCCTCAAATAATAGCCCTTAATTAAGTTAGATGGTTTTATTCAGTCACGTAGAAAGAAAATTAAGACAATCGAACTAATTAATCCAAAGTCCAACATGGTTTTTGTCAGCCGCGCGTTAACTTGTCATAATCTAAAGTTGCTTGCACTAAGGGCAACATGACTGATCTCTGATGTCATGTTACCACAAAATATACATCCTTATTAGTTTCTCACGACTTTCTCCGTTCCAATAGCACCAATTTTATAATCATCACATATACTAAAATTTCCAATCTTAAAAGTTTTTTTTTTTTTTTTTTTTTTTTTTTTTTTTTTTTTTGGTTCCTAAACTGATTCAACAGAGGGTAGCAATGCTCCAGTTAGCCGTTATTTACCTGCTAGTCCCGTGGACGTCAAAATCACCTACGCTCCCAAACGACAGGAGATCTTGGTTCCTAAACTGATTCAACAGAGGGTAGCAATGCTCCAGTTAGCCGTTATTTACCTGCTAGTCCCGTGGACGTCAAAATCACCTACGCTCCCAAACGACAGGAGATCTCCAAGACCACGTACGAGCACGACGTTAACACTTTCTTCTTAGACACCAATCTTCACGCAGGCCAGAAACTGAAGCTGCATTTCCCCAACACCCAAAACGACGCCAAATTCTTGACCCGCAAAGCCGCCGAATCCATGCCCTTTTCGACCAACAAGTTGCCCGAAATCCTCAAACACTTGGGGATAAAACCCGATTCGATTCAAGCCAATAGAGTGAAGACCGCCATCGAACAGTGCGAGGCACCCGCCATCAGAGGGGAGGACAAGTTCTGCGCAACATCACTCGAGTCGCTGATCGATTTCGGGGTCTCGAAGCTCGGAAGAGGAGTTCAGGTCTACTCAACGGAGGTGATTAAGGGTGACAATGGGACGAAGCAGGTTTATAGCATCTCCAAAGGAGTGAAGAAGATAGGAGAGAGGTCGGTCGTTTGCCACAAGCAGAATTATGTTTACGCAGTGTTTTACTGCCACGAAATCCACGCAACGACGGCTTACAAGGTGTCGTTGGTGGGTTCCGACGGGACAAATGTTGAGGCGGTGGCGCTTTGCCACGCTGATACTAGTTCTTGGAGCCCTCAGCATGTTGCTTTTCAGATGCTCAAAGTGAAGCCCGGAAGCGTTCCCATTTGCCATTTCGTGTCTAGGGACAATCTTGTGTGGGTCCCCTAAATAACTAGCTATATATATACATGTATATGTATATATAACTAAAAAAGTTCCATCATATGTAGTTGTTGGTGTCAATTCACTACATAAGTGCACGTGCAGAATAAGTAATAAAATAAATAAGTAGAGTATTATTCTCATGGAGAAAGTTATCAATATTTTTCTTAATAAGATTTAAGAAATACAATATAAACAAATTTAATAGTTTGATTCAATTACAAAGACTAAAAGAATTGCAGTAAATAAAAGTAAATAAATTCACACTCAGTTATCAAAGGTAAAAATCAATCTATCTAAAAGGACTGGAACTCAATTTCCCCTTCACTGCAACCTGTGCTATTTATGCTATGACTTTTTCTACAGTAATGCTGTCAGTTAACCTGAAACATGAATTTTACACAAGAATCTTCCGGAGCCCTGTGTGTCAGAGGCTCCTGGATTATGTCGTTTATTTATATTTTTATGCAGTTAAGTGTGGGACCCGGTTGGGAATCTGCTCTATAAATCTCAAATCGAGTTCCACGTCACCCACCCCGTTTGGGGGGCGTGACAATATTCCTATACTACTCGCAAATCAACCAAATCTCTTTGTAAAATTTAGCTAAACAACACACTATTCAATATTAGTCTAATTCCAATCAACTTTCCAGCAAATTGAAATCACTATAATTTGCTTATGATGGCCGGTCAGTAAACAAAAAATGAACAAGAGAGATTATATTGAATAAACTAATCAGTATCAATATAGCAAAAGTTAGCATACACAACGTTAAATTACGTATTTGGGTACTTTATCATCCTAGCCAAATAAATTTAGCTCATAATTATTTTGTTAAGTTCAACAAAATAGACAGCCATAGTTTGAGTACAGAGGAAGAGGAAAGATAAACCAAAATGAGGAGAATAGCAGTAAAGATAAGATGAAGCTTGGTAGTCTCCTTTTGTGGCTTCACTCCTTGAGATTTCTAGCTCTAAATTTGTCTCCTCCAGTACTCGTCCTCCATTTCTTTCTCTATGGTTTTCTTTTTGCTCTCTGCTGCCTTAGCTCACTGCGTACACTCTTCTTCTTTTTTTTTTCTTTCTTTTCTATTTCTTGCTTCCTGCTGCGGCGCTCCCTCGCTGAGTATTAAAGTGTACTTCTCTTTAGGGCAACCGAGGATGCTGAGGTGGCTCCTACTCAAAGGATGGGTCCAGCCGACTAAGCACCAAATTCATCTTCTGTGCACTTTGTCCTAATTCTCTCACAGAGTTATGCGCTGACGTCATCCACTAATTGCCTACTGTCATATTTTTGCTGTAGCAAATGTTACAGCATTTATCCTCACAAAACCTACAAATCAGAAACAACACCTCTTGGACACACGTTAAGCCCTTCCTTGATCAAGTTTTCTTCAAAAACATCACAAAAACAACACACAAATAAATCTCAACAGAGTGTACATGAACCAAAAGTTGAACAAATAAAGTAGAAAATTAACAACTAAACTTAGAAATGCCTAAAATAACTCTAATTCCTAGAGTTATTAGTAGTCTTTACACTTTAGTTAATTTCATGCATGTGTGTGGGGGTTTGCTCTTCAATCTGTGTAAAATAACTAGCCGGTACTGCTTATCTATAATATACGTGTGAACTTGTATGACATTGGCGTTTGTATTTTGTAATTCTCATGTGATATTTAAAAAATTGTCCCTTTTGTTCTGGTTTTACATTTCTGACAAAAACTCCTGACTCAAATTATCAAAGCAAATGGAAGTCACTTTGATAAGGGGAAACTATCATTTTAGTACTCCCTATAGTTTAACATGTTTTTAGTATCGTATACTCGTATTTGAAAAATCCCATTGAGATATTCTATCATTAGAAAATTGTATATTTTTTTAGGTAGGAACATGTGAAATGTCAATTTTACCCTTTCAGTCAAAAAAATAATTAAATTAAAAAGTTACAAAAATCCTTAAAAAATAACTAAACTGAGAAACCAAAACAATTTTAGATCTATCTCTTTCCTATATAGATATTTTATTTTATATCTTAAAGTTGAGTTGCCTTGTATATCTTGCTAGTTTTTGTTGAATCCGAATGGAGCTCTGTTAGATGAAAATTGAAATACAAGATTTTTGCCCCACTAGAAGAGCATTAACTTCTACTTGAAAGAATTAAAATTCAGAACCCAGACCCACTTAATCTTTTATTGCTTGTGCCAATATTATGTTGTTTTTGTGGCCTCATAAGTTTATAATATTCCGTTGAGAAAATTTCACGTCTAAAATATTTTGCGCTCTGTTTTCCCTTTCCTTCTCACTGAAATCCTTTCCCCCTTCTTATTGATCGATTTAATTTTACAGTGCAAGATTAATTTATTTAAATGTTTTTCATGATTAACTACGCGGATATTGATTATCCTCTTTATCTTCTTGTAATAGTTCATGTCATTAATTTTGCTTCTTACAAGTTGCCAGCAGCTTGTACTTTCGCACATGTGGAACTACTTGCAAATAGGAATAAAATATGATGTTATTTTCGTATTTATGTGTTTTTCATATAAGAACTTAAGAGAACGTATTACAGCAATCATAATGTAGATTAATGCTATTTCCTTTTATAATATCCAAAATATCCTAGTGTTTTATCAAAATACCACTTTCGCCTCTCTTATTATGCAAATACCCAAACACCTCCTATGATTTATCAAAATATCACGTTCGCCTCTTTTATCATACAAATACTTAAAATACTCTCTGTGTTTATAAAAACATACTCAAAACACCTCCCAACGCAATTCAATTTTTTAAAATACTAAGATTATCCTTTTAAATTTTTGTTAAATACAATTTAATTAAACCAAAATCTTAAATAATATCAATCTTAAAAATTGAAAACCTCTCAAAATAATTGAAGTATTTCTTTGATTGGAATATTCATTTGAGCACTTTTAAAAATTTTATATTGAACTTTTCAATTAAATAATATCTAAAATATCATTTAATATTAATTGGAAAGATAATCATGGCATTTTTAAAAATTTAACTGCTTCAAGAGTTATTTTGGGTTTGTTTTTATAAATACATGAGGTATTTTTAAGTTTTTTATATAATAAGAGGGGTGAATGTAGTATTTGATAAAAGATAGACTGTATTTTGGGTATTTTCCCTTCTTTTTATCTTGCATGCATTTCTTTCAAAGAAAGATCATTGATTAAAAAGTTACGTTGCATTGCTGCTAAAAATATTTTGTCCCCTAGGCCTCTCAAAATAATTCCCTAGAGATTCAATTGCTCTTACAAGTTATAGTTTTCAACCTTGTAGGGATTAGCATTGATTTTGATGCCTTGATTGATTTAAGAGAAAATCTTGTCGAATCAGTGCAGTGCCAGTATTGTAGGGAGCCCCAGAGCAATTTTTCTTGATTAAATCAAGTGCATCGTTGAAAGAGCGTTGTTGTGCGGCATCACCGAGCCAAGTTCAGGTGCCTCGGCCGCCTACAGTGAGGCACCCGAGCTGAGCTCGGCGATGCTGAAAAGCATTTGTCATTATCAGAGCTAGTAATGCCGTTCAACCAAAAGAATATTCACAGCGCCAAAACACACCACGCCAAAATCAGAATCGTAATAACACATCTAGCAGGCAGCAAAGACAACATTCCAATAGAATAATCACGGAAACAAACGCAGAGGCACCCGCTAGTTTCAATATATGATAAAGTCAAGGGTTCAAAATCTGTCCCAATATTCACATCTAGTAATACTGAAAACAAGGTAGACCAATACTTTGTAAACAACTAAACATCCTGGTTGATTCTAGCTTTTCTCTTCAACCATAAATCATGGACAGGATTACTATCCAGCCTGACTTTTTATTTTGATCAAGACTTAAAATCTTCCCATATTTGCATGAAAAGCCTATGGTCTGTTTGGTTTACGCGTTTGAATCGGTAATTTTAGTTCTGAATTTAAATTTTGTAAGAGAACCCATTGGTCGGAACTTTTTTTATTCAAATTTTTTGTAAAAGAAAAGTCCTGTAGCAGAATTAAGATTATGAGTTTAAACGCATGAAACAAACATGCTCTTTGTTGCTATTTTCGACGACTAAGCCTTGGCAAGGAGCTTCAAGAGCTTATGGTTTTCAAATTTTTAAGCCTCATTCTGGCAACTTATTTTTCTCCAAGTTTTTGTTACTCTTTTTATGTTCAAAAGAAAGCCAATATTTCTGATGCTTCAAGAGGATGTTATACTCTATTCACGTAATAAAATGTGAAGTGAATTCCATCTATTTCATCACTTGACCCCTTCTCATATTAGTTTTGTTCCACGCCAAGAATTCAAACGACCTGTGCAATGTTTGCATTAATCTCAAAACAAAACAAGATAGCGAAAATTCTACCGCCCTTTTGCCACAAATGATTCCGCAGTCTGCAATCTTCAGGAACAAACTGCAATTATAGTTGGAATTATCCAAAACAAAAAGGAACAAGAAAAGTTTAATAGCTCATGTTTGTTGAGTTGCAATTCAATATGAGCAGGTCAAAGGCAGTTTCTGCTAGAATTAATGATAGTTCTTGGAGATTAATTACATCTATAATGCAATTAACGAACAAGAAGTACTATTACACTTGAATCTTAAAAGGATTTGCAGGCAACATATCCTCACAAAGCACACAGAAATGCAAAGAGTGTAAAAGGTAGATAGTTCAAAGATAAACTTGTAGACACTCGCAGCAAAAGATTAGTATTGTTTCTATCAGACACAAAAAGTGTTCAAAACACAAAAACCTTTAAAGCATTAATATGTACATACACACACTAAGGGTGGTCAGTATTGGTTGAATCACATATAAACTGACAAAAAAGAAAACCAAAAAAAAAAAAAAAAAAAAGAAAAAATTGCAATGTAGAACTTCTCTCTGCTGATTAGGAAAATGGTGTTCAAGTCACTTCTATTGGTATTCACATACCACGAAGAAAACACTTCAATAAAAAGAAAATAAATGGAAAAAGGTCAAACGAATCAGTATACCAATCTTTTACTTCCTACACCCCCAAGCTGATACCGAATATAGTGGCCGATCTTGCCAGCAAATCAGAACATTTCCGTTCTCTTCCCTGATCTTGTACCCGTCGCAACCGTAACCCTGTAACAGCCTCCTTGCCTGCAGCATACCAAAATAGCTAAGTGGTAAGTTAGAGAACCCGGCTGAATCGAGCCTTTGAATCCACTTATCGAGCTTCTCATGTCTTTCCTTCCTCTCTGCGCCTTCACAAGCTATGATGTTCTTTATTTCCTCCCCAAAGAGCATCTTCTCAACCTTTAGTCTCTCCAATGGCGTTCTCGATACGGTAGATTCCAAGCAATCAAACAACGCTGCATACGAGTACAGAGCTTCAAGTAGCCTCTCCATTAAAGTGGATCCATTATGGTTGGAATCTTGTTCGGTTATTACCATCAGCTTCGGCGATAGACCCCACAAGCCATTGAGAAAGTTATCCATCTTCACTGATGTCGTTGGAGACAATGGTGACGATGAGGCTGAGTCGGGACTAGGGCTATACCCATTAACCAAATCTTTCTCAAGTAACTCCGCCAATGTGCTTTGGTTCATTTGCAGAACTCTGGAAAAATGAGTTCCATTCAAATTCTTTGATGCCAGCAGGGATCTCTTTCTGAGGAGTTCATCATCAAAAGCCAAAAGAGTGTGCAACTGGAGAACAGAGCTGACGACTAGAGCCTCCCCGGTCTTGACACGAAGTTTTTCCATGTCAAGATTTTCTAATTTGCTGACAATGGGGTTAAACTGAAATGGGATATCCAACTTCTCTGCTTCCTCAATCAGCCTATGAGCCATATGATCTAGCACCTCATTCTGCTGATGAACCGCGGTAATTCTCAAATGCGGTGGGCCTTCAGGCCTTGCATTCAAAACTTGAAGAAGTGCAACCCACTGAGCAGGTTCGGTCGAATGAAGATCAATTATATGAACCATCTTTTCACCTTCAATGGCCTCCGTAATAGCTTGGTTCGTCAGCACAAAAGCGACCTTCAGAAATGGAAAGAGCTCAAAAAACACTTTCCGAACAAGAATTTCCTCGGAAACCAAAGATATTCTCGTCGAATTGAGGGCCTTGTGAAGACCAGGCCAGTTTTTGAGGATGCGATCTGCAAGAGCCTCAGTGAAGTATGCGGCAATCCGCTGCATCGTATCCCCGTCAGGTGAGGCGAGCTGGGAAATCTGCTCAAGGGCAAGATTTGCATTCTCAAGACTGCCAGAAGCCACATGGTTTGCACAAGTGAGCAACAAGTGGATCAAGTACAAACCCCGCTCCTCGGATTTCAGCTCCTTGAGCCATGGATATGGTGATCCTAAGCTTGGTGAAAGTGACGTCATGGAAAAGAATTGGAGAGGCGATGAAGTCACAGATGATGATCCTTCATCTTGAAACATTGGTGCCATGTAACAAACAAGAAAGTACTTTTTTGAAAACTTAAGAAACCAAAAAAAAAAAAAAAAGAAAAATAGAAGAGCCAAAGTCACTTCTCAAGATAATCTAGACTCTAAGAGAAGTAATCTGTTTGAAATCAAACTATGGATTAGACTGAATCAAACAAAGTTATGACGGTTTCAGAATCCAAGGGCGATCAAACCAAAGCAGGCGTTTGAAATAGCAGTTACAGAGCTAAGAAACTAACAAAATATATTATTATCAGACAAACAAGAAAAGGGGAAAACGAGTGGTCAACAATTGGACGATTATGATTCACCAACACAAATTTGAAGAAAGATCAGAACAAGTTCATCAACTTAAATAAACTCAACACAATAGACGAATCAATTCCAATTGGAATAAACAACAAGAACAGAAAAGACCCAACCAGAAAAACAGAAAAAGAGAAATCAAACTTAAGAACTAGAGAAAATCCTTACTGGGTTTTGCAATTAGTTAAGAACCCAGAAGAAGCCCCGTGGAAATGGCAAAGATTGTTTCCTCAATCTCCACTGTTCATCAAAACCCGTCTATGGCTTATTTATTCCTCTGTTTTCTCCCACCACAAAGTAAACTCTTTAAACTCTCAAAAAAAAAAAAAACAAAAAAAAAAAAAACAGTTTTAATTAAAAGGGATTGTGTTGTTTTGAAGAGGAGAGACTCCATGGCTACGTTTGTCGACAATGCTTGGAGGACGCTTTTGTCGTTATTGTTTTGTTGGCCATCGCTCTTAAGTGGAATATGGAATTTCCCTTGGCAGTCTCTTCTCTCTCTTTCAACAAAAAAAAAAAAAAAAAAAAAAAAAAAAAAAAAAAAAAAAACTTGTCTTTCTTTTTCTCCCTCTAAAACCATGACAAGTTTTCTTTTGTCTTCACCTTAGGTGGATAGGGAATCAAGGCTAGGCTAAAGGGAGTTTTAATATTCCCAAATGTTAGAAAAAGCCAAACATGCCCTAACAAAGACAAACAGTGCCCTCAGTTTTTGTTTCCTAGTGGGGTAAGTGTGGGAATTGCGAGGGGAGTTTCCAAGAGTAGTTCCAAAACGACATTTTGTCTTCTTCCTCGTGGCAATGACTATACAATTGTTATTATCTTCCAATATTAAGATAAAAGAGACAAGGGGGTTAAGCAAGCGTCCAAAATGAGATGCTTCATTTATCTCCATTTGTGGATTCTTTGGTGTCATTTTCTCAAAAAAAAAAACATCCCCTATGGTTCTAAAGCCTCCCATTTCAAATTTTTGCAGGATTTTGGAAAACGCATAATTATTATTCCCTTTGTAGAGAATTTGGTAAAATATAGAAGAAATATATTATATTGGTATTTTTTTAATAAAAATGTAGAATGAATAAAATCATTTTAGTACTCTTTATTATAGCGAAATTTCTCGTTAATACTCTATATTTTTAATAATATTAAAATGATAATTTAACCATTAAAAAATGTTCTTTTAGTACACTAATACTGATTTTTAAGACATAAAATATCTATTCCACCCTTCTCATTAATTAACAATAAAGTAATCATTTTAAAAAAATATGAAAATACTACAAAATATTAAAAAAGTTAAATAAATCAAAATGTTTTTAGAAAATATTTTTAAAGTTATTAGGTTTTATTTCACTTATTAAAAGTGTAGTTTAGACATTGTATATTTTAAAAATTAGTCTCAGAATATATAAAAACCTTTTTTTATTAAAGGTGAAGCCGTGAAAGTATCATTTTAATATTGTTAAAACACACGATACTAGTGAGATGTTTCACTATAACAGAACATACAAAAATAATTTTATCCTCACATAGAAACAAAAAAAAATTTACATAACTCATAAATAGATCGACTATAATATCTTCATGAGAAAGTAACACTACAGTATATAAGTAGATCCCATTAATAATGTATGGATATTTTGTGATTTTGATATGTTTAGTACTAATTTTAAGGTTAATATACATATTCTTCTTCTTTTAAGTGATTAAAAAATAAAGATATGCATATTCTAGGGAAAAAAAGTGATTAAAAAATAAAGATGTACTTTGATTAATAATATACTATAAAATTTTTGCTAAAAATTATCGGCTAATTAATTCATCACATAATATTGTACAGAG